TGAATAATCGATTTTCAAGTTGATAATCGATTATCCATCGTCTTCTACCTCGAGCCAACTTGCGGAAATTTCACTTTTACTTACCAAACTTCAATTAAAGTATATAAAAGTGTTCTCCAAGGTTCATAGATCATTTTGGCATCATTAATTCATAGTTTTAACATCAAAATCATGGTTTACGATTCTTTGTTCTTCAAACATGTCAAACACCAAACTCAACCAAATGAACATTTATGAACGTAAAATCGATCTATATGAACATTTTAGTCACTAGATATATCTACGGGCTTAGCTCAAAGCTTAATGGAGGTTTTGGAAATATTCTGGTGAAACTTCCGATGAGTATAACTCTCAACTCCGACGACTTCACACCAAATTGACAACACCACTGCGTTCTCCTCACTTAGAGCAACAGAATACGACGAAATATTTTGAGAAATGGTGAAGAAATGGTTAAGCTTTGGTAGTCTTATATAGGAAGGAGATGGGGAAAACTTCCAAGCCTGCTGTATCATTCCAATCGGCGTATCCTTGTAGTGGAGGAGGAGGCGCAGTCTCTACAGTGTACCTGATTGGGACCAATTTTGGTTCCAGTCAGGGTACACTTTTTGGTCCAACTTTCTCCGAATTGAAATCCGTTTGCACCTTTTCGATCAGACAGTCGAATTATATCCAACTATATAATATTTATATTTATTTGAAATACTTTTTCCGACATCATATTTTTGAGTGTTTGACTTTGACAGAGTCAAAATTGGTTTATTTGACCTTTATTCAAAAAGGTTCTCACATTTAATTCATATCATTTGTTCTCAAGATTTATTTCAATAAATCATTTTAAAGTTCATATTATAAATAATTTCTTCATTTATTCTTGATTTGGGTCTGTACTCAGGTTCCCAATCAAGACCACACAATTAGTCAACATATTGGATTTATCTCTATGAGACTTATCCAGATTTTGATATTGGAAATTAAAACATATTTCATATCGGCCCAAAGCCTAACAATAATTTATTTTAATCAAAACAAATTTGATTAATTGAATTATTCATTAATAATTTTAGGGTATGTTTTGGGGCGTTACATTTCTCCCCCCTTAAAGGAATTTCGTCCTCGAAATTCTTCTAAGGTCCACAATCAACATTTGTTGTAGTCATAATTAATCGTGACAACGTCATGTTCGCATGGTTACATTTCATCTTATAGATACGTATTCTCAAATCGTTGATGTTACCAAACTCTTTCAATATTCGTGAGATTAATAAACTTCGATTAAGCAAGGCATTCACCGATCCTTTCAAAAGTTTCCTTCAAAGTGTGTAGTATTGTATACTTGACATATTTTCCCATAGCTTCGTTTAGTGGCAAGTCTCGTTTGCACGTCATTGCTCAACGGAATTTCTTTTCTTGATTGAAAAGTTCTTCAGTATCCTTCATAGAAGGTTCACGATAGGCATACTTGAAAACTTGGAAGGTATATCAATTCACACGTCGTAAGCTTTCAAGTTACTTGAATGGTCGTTGTCTTAAGGCATTAGCCATTTTGACTTTTCGTCTCAGATTTGAACGTATTTCAGGACAACGAATCTAACTGTTCATGAGTCTCAATATGTCATATCGTAAGCAGACTGTAGCATTAACGAGCACGTCCTCATGTGTAGGTAAATCAAATCCATCTTTGTTGTACAAATTTTGACGGAGGATAACTACCCTTTTTCAAAGGTCAGGTTTTCAGAGCCTATATATATCACGATTGTGGCCAGAGCATTTCACATTCTCACATTATGGAAGGAACATCTCGAACTTTTCCTTACACCATAAAATTCGTTGGTCTACTTGGTAGTCATTCTCTTGGTAGAAATCCAAAGTTCATGGCTACGGCGGTGGATTTAG